CCCAGGGATCCCCCCATGCAGAGCTGGACCCCCAGAGGGACAGGGGGTCTCACATCGGGCCCTGCTCCACCCCCAGCACGGCCACGGCCCCTCCTGGGGGTCCCTGGGACCAGGACTGATGGACCTGAGCACCTTCATCCCCCTCCTCCTCCTCGCTGTCCCCCAGTGCAGCACCAGGGGAGGTCTGTCCCCCTCGGGTGGGGGTCACACGCGGCCCCCACCCCGTGAGCTCTCACACCAGCCCCTCGTGACCCCCCCACTCCCGGATTTCCGGGGGCTGCGGTCGCCGCGTGACGTGGGCACGGGGGGGGCTCACATGATGTCCCCCCCTGGACCCTCACAAAGCCCCTTTGTCACCCCACACCCCGCTGACGTCAGGGCTGCACCCCGGGAGCTGCTGGACTGACCCCCAGGAGGGGGGGAGCACAGCCCAGGGGTCCACAGTGTCACATGGGGGGGGGCTGGGGACCCCCGGGACACACCCTGGGGGACCCCAGAGTCACTCTGGGTGGTCTGAGCACCCTGGGGGACCCCAGAGTCACTCTGGGTGGTCTGAGCATCCTGGGGGACCCCAGAGTCACTCTGGGTGGTCTGAGCATCCTGGGGCACCCCAGAGTCACTCCGGGGCACATCCCGGGGGATCTCAGCACCACCCTGGGGGAGGGGGTATGGGGACACTCCCAGGGACCCCACCATCATCCTGGGGGCTCTGAGCGCGCTGGGGGCCCGCAGCATCAGCCCGGGGGGCCGTGGGGACCCCCCATGTCACCCACCATCTCAGCGAAGATGCAGCCCAGGCTCCAGATGTCCACGGCCGTCGAGTAGTACTTGCAGCCCAGCAGGATCTCGGGGGCTCGGTACCACAGGGTCACCACCTGCCACACCCAGGGGGGCACCGTGAGCACCCCTGACCCCCCCCCCCAGCCCCCCCCCCCGGAGCCCCCCCGGCGCCCACCTCGTGTGTGTAGGTGCGCACGGGCACCCCGAAGGCGCGGGCCAGCCCGAAGTCGGCCAGTTTGATGGCGCCGTCGGCGTTGATGAGCAGGTTCTGGGGTTTGAGGTCGCGGTGCAGCACCCGGTGCGCGTGGCAGAACGCCAGGCCCTGCAGCAGCTGGAACAGGTAACTCTGCGGGGCCAAGGGGGGGGGTCAGTGGGGACGGGACCCCTTCCCCGGGCTGCTCAGCCCCCCGGGATCCCCCACTCGGGGTGACCAGGGGTCCCCACAGCTCTCCAGGTGATGGGATGCCCCGGGATGTGCCACGGGGCACTCCAGTGTCACCCTGGGCACATCCTGGGGGACACCGAGGGACCCCGGAGTCACCCCGGGGGGGTTTAGGGCCCCACCCCGTGGCCCCCCCTCCCACCTTGATGAGGGGCAGCGCGATGCCGCTGAGGGATGAGGAGTCCATGAACTTCTTCAGGTCCTGGTGCAGGAACTCGAAGACCAGGTAGAGCTTGTTCTCCGTGTGGATCACGTCCAGGAGCCTGAGGGAGGGGTGGGCAGAGCCTGGGCCACAGGGCCCCCCCACAGCCCCGGGGCTGTCACAGCCAGAGGCACGGGGGTCCCGCGGCCTCGGCTCCCCACGGGGCCACCCCACAGCCACAGTTCCCCACATCTCCCCACAGCCACGGGGATCCCCTCTCACAGCCACTGGTCTTTCCACGGTCCCAGGGCTCCCAGTGACCCCCAGCCTGGGAACACGGCCCCCCCAGCCCCTCACTCACTTGACGATGTTGGGGTGGTTGAGCTCCTTGAGCAGGGAGATCTCCCGGATGGCCGTGCTGGGGACGCCCTCGGTCTCCCTGCGGGAAGGGGGGGG